ACTGCTGCTTTTTCTTTTTATTGTTCCTCTCTGCCCAGGATTGTTCCGAGGTTTAAAAATCAAATTAATCAGTTGTGAAATTGCAGAGTGACTCAGAGGCTGCAGATCCACCTTTGGGGCCAGCCTGGCTCTGTTATTTTTGCCTTTTGTTTGTCTCCTGGCTGGTTTTGCAGCAAGACTGCAAATTCACAATTCAAGGAGCTGGGAAATGGCAGGGATGGGAAATGGCAGGGATGGGAAATGGAAGGGATGGGAAATGGAAGGGATGGGAGGTTTTAGGGTGTTACATCCCACCGTGATCTGGACAAGGGTGAGGAACAAACCATCCTGCACCAATAAAAACACCCATTCAGGTGTGTGACTGAGGAGACAGAGAGCTGTGCAGAACTTTGTGGATATTGGAATAGCATATGGGATATGGATTTGGGAATGCTGTGAAATTTTTGGTGTTTCTAATAATTTAATCTTTCTAACGTTTGCAAATTTTTATTCCCCCTGAGTTCACCCCAGCAGGCAAATAAAATTGCAAACGTTCAAAAGCACTGGCTGCAGACACAGAGACAGACATGTGCACGTGCAAAGATCTAAAAAGGGACAAACTCCCCCAAAAATCCCAGCACAGCCGCGGCCAGGGAGTGGCAGTGAATATCACAGGGTAGATATTGTGCTCCAACTTCCACTCAAAAATTCTGGGTTTTTTCCCATTTAATGCTGACATTTAACAGTCAGAACTGGGTCTGGAACTGAATTAGCTGCTCTTGTAGGACAGCACCCATAGCGGTTCCTGAGAGTGCTAGCACTGACTGTGCCTGACTCCCTTTCACGTAATGAAAAGGAAATTACATTGCTGGAATTTTTGACCAATTTTCTCCTACCAAGCTGAACACTGAAATTAAAAAATCCCCCATTTGTGGCTGCTACCCCTGTGTCCACAAGAGTGGCACCTCTTGATTTGTGCAGACAGAAACGAGCCCTTCTGGGAGCAGCAGAAATGCTGCTGTCTGGTTTCCTGTGCCTCTCTATTTTGT